AATCTCAAATCATGGTTTCCAAAGTTTATACATTGTAAATTATGATTCGGGAGTGTTCCTAGTATCATTAAACGTGTCCTCGTTTGTTTATTTCTACTGCATCTTGATTATAGTATAGGTTAGAAGAGTAAAATGATGCAATTACACGCCCAGTTGCTAATTATCAGACTGTTTTTTACTTACCTTAATATTAGAAGAGCTACACAATACTTTCAATACTGTATTTAGTACTAATTACTAAATAAACAATAAAAAATAACAAACTTTTACAGAGTGTTGTAGGTTTACTTCAACTGTGAAAATAATACTACGTTGTCACGTTGTTGCAATCTGTCGTAAGCCACGTATATTTTAACGGTTTTGTGGGTTTGGACAAATTGCACTGGTAATTTATGCGCATTGTCGCTTCCGACGTATTACTTAAATATTAATTGTGGTTTTGAACAAATTACGCTGGTAATTTAAATGCATTGTGACTTCCGACGTATTACTTAAATATTAATAGAAAAATAAGGAACATTCTAGGGCTTACGATATTTTGCAGAAACATGTGTCTTCAATAGCAGAATTAAAATCTTCAATAATGAAAAAAAAAAAAAATTTGTGGGTTACGACATATTGCGGTTATTGCGACGTTATCTTATAGTCATAGCACTGAATAATAATTCTGTGGTCATAGTATCATGCAAAATCGGTCGTGTTCGCGAATGCCGTCATTGGAGAGTAGAATTTGAACTCTTGTTAAAGTTAAATTTGTATGCATTCGGTGATGAAATTACTAGACGAAAATTAGTTAAGAGGTTAATAATTACAATTATCGTACACATAAGGATATCTCCAAACTATTAATTAAAGATTATTTATTGATACATACAAAAAACTGGCATTTCGAACGTCAACTCCCCAATGACGTCACGGCTTATGCGCAATATGTTATCTTCTTAGTAATAGTATGATAAAATAAGAATTCCCAAAAGTTTGACTTTACTTTGAGTTATTTTTCATACATTTTTAAAGCAACTGATTTAAAGAAATTTTGACTTGTATTTGGTGTGGTACTCCTCTTAAATTGCTCGTTTAAAGGCACGATGCTTGTATCACTGCAGTTTTCCCACTACATAGTAATATGGTTCGAATCTAAAATTGCTTGCCTTCAGCTTTTTATTATCGGTTCGCTATTCCCAGTTCGAACTGTCTAGTGATTTTAGTAATTATTTTTTTGCGAAGTTAGTTACTTTTTGACAGACTCGAAGTGGCTGGAAATTACTATACAACCAAGCATACGTGCTCTTAGTCAATATTAATGTAAACAAAAGTAAATAAAATAGAACTTTGCCGACAATCAATATTTATTTATTTACACCGTATAATGTATTGATAACAAATAATAAAATTATTTATTGTACAAAATAAAAAAAGTGGGATTAAATTCTACAAAATTAAAAAGTCAAAGTGAGGTTAAATAAGACACAGCAAGTTCCTTATGTTGTGACTAGGATGGAATCAATGATTAAAGATTAACAGTTCATTGAATAGCATTAACATAAACTGTTGTTATATTATCTTACAAAATAAGTGTACTTCCATATGCTAAAAGCAAATATTAGTAATTTGACTAGGCAAATTCGTGGTTCAATAGTAATTTTTGCTCATTAGCATATTTGAGGATGTTAAAATCTTCCACATATGGTGAATGAATTCAGTGTCCTGGCCGCAGTCTGCAGTCATATAAACCCAAACAAACAACAAAAACCTCCATGTAGGTATAAACAAGTTTATATTAAATTAGAAACAACTAATCTAAAAATATTAACTTTTAAAAAACATTTTTGACTATCCATAATAATAAAATTTAAAATATAACTAATTAACTGAATAGAACTAACAAAAGAATTAAACAAAGATAATAAAACAATAAAACTATATTAGATTAAATAAACAACGCGAATAATACAAATATTTACTACAATATTTTAAATTGTAACAATTCAAATATTATATTTTAAATATACAGGGAAAATTTGATGGGTTTAGTATACACTTCCACTATTTAGAATAATTCTTCTTTTTTTCTAAGAAAGAAGTCTGCAATAGTAGTATACTTGAGCTATTAATACTGAGAAGTAGGAATTGTTGTGTTGTAGGTTTCCTACAATGAGTCTGTCAAAATATGCCCTAGCTGAGCGAATAGACATTAAAATTCAAAATTGTGTATCAAATTTACAATGTCAACCTCAAAACAAGTGCTGCCACCTATAGTCGTTTGAGAACGCGAATAATTACGCACCCTGGCACTAAGTAATGCGCCAATCGTCATTTTACTTTTTCACACGGGACTGGCACTGCTAGTTGGGAGTGTGCTGTGGTCAACATATTGTCAAAGTCAAAAATGTGAGGTTACTTGGTTACTATTTCTATTTCTGAGCACTTTAAAAAGAAAAATATTACGTAGTTACAAAAAACTAATTTATCCACCATGGATATTACGATATTAGCTGGGATAGCAATTTTCTTATTTTCACTTATTATAGGATTAACATTTTATCTCAAACAGACTAAGGAAGTGAAAGGTAAATATTTGATGTACCATATTTTTTGATTTTTCTGCAAAACAAAAACATTACTAAAGATATTTTATAAACCAATTATTTCTTCTTATAAAATACTGTAGATAATATTGTTAACTGCTTATTTTATTAATTACAATCATTAAATTAAGAGAAATGTGTAACATCTGTGTAGAAACTTTAGAATATATTTTAGAGACTTCTTTAAAACTAAAGTTGAGAGTAAAACATTTTCTTATAAAAACAGTATTTGCCATTGTCTTTATCTTGTTATTGTCATTCTAGTCCACTGTATTTCTAGTAGTTCTTTGGTACTCATATGGTATAACAGTTGAGTTCCACAACCAACAATGTAGGTATAGAATTATGCAGCATTTGTTGACCCAATGTTTTCTTTGTGTTTTCGATTTAAAAAGGGGATTATTTCTGACAGTTTAAGTCTTTAATAAGTTTAATAAGTCTTTAGTAATAATTATCAGCCTATGTATTGTGTATAACTGTATTTAGGGACTGCAACAGGTTCTTTTTAATTTCTGTATAAAAATTTGATCATTACTTATTTATTTCTATTGTTGCTGTCCATTTTCTGACTATCATCTTTTTTGTATTTGTCTTATTGTAATTGCTTCCTGTGTATTATGTCCATTGTGAAGAAACCTGTATACTTAGTTGAATGATTTTAAACTGAAATATTTGTCAATGCATAATTTCTAAGAAACATTTATTATATCTGTTATGTATATTTATACTAATTGACCATTATCCATTGTGTTGCTGTAGATTATTTCTTCTAATTAATATCATTATAGATGCCCCTAGACCCAGAGCTGCTGGAAATAGAGCTAGAGAAGCAGGTCCAGGTGGAAGAAGGGCTCAGATTGCTAGAAATAGAGGAGTGCGTTTAAGAGCAAATGGTATGTATTAAAAATAATATTAATAGTAATCAGGAAAGCTTTTTTTAAACTTAAATATAGAGTATACATATAAAATTTAATATTTTTATTCTTTCTTTTCAGTTGCACAGCAAGAGTTAGATGATGATGACGAAGGAATAGACAATGAAGAAGAAACAAATGACATTGAAATTGATGGTAAGGTGGGAGCTAAGAAGAGAGCAAAATTAGAAGCTAAAGCAGAGAAAAAGGCAGCCAGAAAAGTAGAAGAACAAATACGGGCTGACAAAAAGAAAAAAGCTGAACAAGCGGAAGAGGAACGAAGGAAGGCAGATGAGAGGGAGAAGGCAGAAGAAAAAAGAATGGAAGAAGAGCAGAAGAAGGCGAAGGAAGAGCAGGAGAAGAGAGAGTATGAAGAATATTTAAAGATGAAAGAAGCGTTTTCAGTTGAGGAAGAAGGATTTGAGGAAGGGGAAGAAGGAGATAGCCAGAATTTGTTGCAAGAGTTTGTGAATTATATAAAGGCCAATAAGGTTGTAGTGATTGAAGATTTAGCAGCTCTTTTCAAGCTTAAAACACAAGCAGCTATTGATAGGATAAAAGACTTGCAGAAGGATGATATTTTAACTGGAGTAGTAGATGACAGGGGGAAATTTATTTATGTATCTCCGGAGGAGATGGAAGCAGTTGCTAAATTTATTAGGCAAAGAGGTAGAGTCTCCATAGCAGAATTAGCTGAAAATAGCAATGTACTAATCAATTTAACACCCAATACCACAAGTGTGGTAGCTAGATAAGTCATAAAAATTGTAAATAAATGTTTTTTTTTAATTTAGCTTTTTATTTATAGAGGTTTGTTAATCTTTATGTCCATTTTTCGACATTTTTATGTCCGACCCATTGCCACTTCAACCTTGCTATACATTCTGCAACATCAGTAATCTTGGTTCTTTCCCAAATGTTGATATTTTGAATAGTCTCTCAAACTAATCCCTAGCATGGCCCTCTCCATCACTCTTTGGGTTGTACTGAGCTACTCTAATGTTTTCTTGGAAAAGGCCATGGTCTCCAGTCCATAAATGTAGTTACAGGCAAGATACATTTGTCATAAACTCTAGGTTTTAGACACATTGGTATATCTTTATTCTTCAAGATAAAGCTTAACTTGCCGAAAGCTACCCAAGACAATTGTAAGTGTCTTTTTATTTCAGCTATTTGATTTTCTATGCCGATTTTAATGGAATGTCCAAGATATATAGTGGTCTACATTTTCAAGACCGACGTTGTCAATAGCAATATTAGTTTGTAAATTACTCATTATTTTTGTTTTTTGAAGGTTCATTTTAAGACCTATTTTATTTGACTGCTGATTTAATTCCATCAATGTTTAGACCTTTTTGCTCCCAGTCGAACTTAAATACATTTTCCAATGCTAAGGTAAAAAGCGTTGGTGAAATAGTATATAATAACATTAATAATTCCTTTTTGTGTTTATATCTTCACTCTTACATTATCTGTCACAGATAAATGAAAAAAAATATACTCAAAAGATTTAATTGAGATAATGATTAACAAAATTAGATTCTTTTCTGCAGTAGGTATAACATTTCTTATAAAAATTAAAACGCTGATTTAATCACTCATCTCTTCATCACCATCATCCTCTTCGTCTTCTTCCTCACTTGTCACATCGGGTTGTTCATCTGCTTCAGATTCACACCTCGGACATTGACACATGAACAAATAATGTTTCATTAACTCCTTCCTCCTGGAATGTCTAGACCTCCCTAATGCACATTCGTCTAAGTAACTTATGTGTATTTCTTCTCCTTCTTTGATGTCTCTCGTCGCAACTAAACTTAGCCTGTGAAAAAAATGAAACTTTATTAATATCTTCCTTATCACATTAATTTAATGTTGATGATTTCGCACAGCATTGCCATATTGTTGTGATAGTAAAGAATGAAGGGAATTATGAAAGAATAATAATGTAGAGTGTAGGGAGTTATTTATGTTAATTTATAAAAAAAATGAATCATAATGAAAAATTTGTATTATTACAAAAATTCTGAGCAGTTGTACTATGAAAAAAATCTTATCAAGTACATGTAATGAACTTCATATAAAACAATAGGTAGTAAAATGCTAGACTATCAATAAATGGAAGTTGTACAAACCTGTGATTGTTAAATACAAATTTGGGTTCTGCATTAGGAACACAACTATGATTACAGCTGCTCTGTAGTGAGTATAATGCTACCCCTTCATTGTTTAGAAATTCTCCCACATTTTCATCCATTTGCAGATATAGATGCTCTATAAAATTGTCCAACAGCTCTTTTTCTGATTCTGGAAGGTTCAGTTTTTCTGTATTTGATATCCATTGGGCAATTGCACTTGTTCCTACACCTTGTCCATTTGTACCTATATAAATACTTGAAGTATGTTATATATTATGGCAAATATAATGTCTAATATTTCAAATTGTTAAGTCAAAAACAAGGATGCCTTACCTATAAGTGCTAACATGCTCAAAAACCCTTCATAAGTCAAAAACTGTTCAATACCATCATTTGGAATAGCAGCAACCAAACTGCTATGCAACAAGCTCAGTTGGTCTGCAAATTTATCTCCCAAGAGTTTGTGGGCTAAATCAGCGTCTTCATTTATGGTTCTATGGCAAAACTGCAAAGTTTGTGCAATGGCTGCATCTCTATTAGGTGCCTGTCTAATTCTGGCTAGCAGACGGACAATTAGCATTATGCTATTTGTTTCTGGTGGGTAATGCACTTTCCTATAAAGAGAATATAATTAATATGCACATTAATAGGGAAGAACAAAACACAATATCAGAAAAAGCTCTGAAAATGTATTATTGATAGAACAAATAATAACTGAACAAAAACTTGTATTTTGAAAATAATTTCCAAGTTAGAAGTCAAAATTTCAATTAAACATTTACAAGTTTAATTAATTTCCAACCTATCTGAATTACAAAAGTAAATTGCCACAAAAAATATTCCAAAATAATTTTTGGTTTGTTTTTGAGTTCAGTAGTATTTCAAACTTTTAGTCTTGCTTTTTTTGAGTTTACAAATCAACGAAATATATGATAAAATTGTAATTCTACAAAAAAATAACTCAGGAAACATATTCATCTGGTTAATTAGTAAACAATACTTACTTCCATGCATCATTTAATCTTTCCAAAGGATGATTGCTATTATTTCCATGGCATAGTGTATTGTGGTATTGACTGTATGCCTCTACTCTACATTCTTCTGAGCAGTATTTCGTAGAACAATGAGGACAGGATACTATTTTACTTTTATCTGTTGAACAGCACTCTGGATATGGTAATACCATTGGATGGCCAGCTAAACGAGTTGCATTTTCATGAGCAGTTTCTAATGGTCTAAAACATTTTATTGTGTTGGTAAAAATATTAATTTTCATTTTTATGAAATAAAAATATACAGAAAAGGAATAAAAATACATCATTTTTTAAGTTTATAATTTCAGGTAAATTAAATATTTTTCTTATCCTGGAGCCCGGATTCTCATATTACATATTTTTATAGATTTCAAACTGATGTTCATTTTCAGATCCTTTCTACCATGTTGTTTCTTTGGTTTAACTATTTTCTTTTTGTGCTTCTTGTAACATTAAAAAAAAAAGATAGTTTGTAATAATGGTTACCCTTTTATGGTTTTATAGAATATTTACAGGTTTTTAGTTCATTGAAATAAAATTTTGTATTTCCTCTCTACCTTATTGTTTCATTTGGTTTACCTAATTCCTTCTTTCCTCTTTTTCAATCATTAAAAAAGAAAGTGGTGAAAAGAAATTATAATTTTTAACAATACAATATCATACATATTTAAAATTTATAATTACCTTAAACAATGATCACAAGCTAAGTATTTATATTCAGCATTCCATGAAAACTGGCATGACACAAGCGGATCTTCTTGAAAAATAACAGTATCTTTAGGAAAATCTTTTTTTGCATATAATCCTTTGCCCTACAACAATAATATTTATATATAAATTTCACAAAAAACATTAATACAGGAAGAATATATAATACGATAATTATACACAAAATTGAAAAGTTTACTACATGAATCTCTTCTAAACTGTATAGTTCTGTACCTAGCTAAATAGTTATTTTCTTAAAAGTAGCAAATCCTACATAAAAACGGAATAAACAGATAATTGATTTATGTCGAAAATTAATATAAAAATGGCACAAACTTTTAGGGAATCGGTAATCCTAACTTCAACGTCCATTCTAAGAAGTTTTTAATATTTAAAGCAAACAAAGCACGTTATTTTGACGTCGGTAAATTTGAAGGTTATGGTTAGGTCGCATTATAACCTAAAAAGTTAATAAAAAATCACAGAGGCACAGATTACATAAGTGCAAAAACGCTTCTTTTTTATGTATGATTGTTAATTCCCTAAAAAATTATAAAACAAAATTGATGATTGTAATTCTTATAAATCCTATACTATGTTTGAAAATACTTTGATTATAATAATATCATTTATAATACTAATAATATTTAGAAAAGATGTGGTATTTAAAAAGAATATAAATCCTGGCTTGATAAATATGTTGGTCATTCAATAACTGATGTGGAAGCTGATAAGTGACATTTGAATTTGAATTGAGCTTGCGTTTGCGCGTTGTTGCATCCTAAAAGCAGTAAAAGTAAAATCGCCATTTTGTGTATTGTGTTTGTGGGTACATGCATCATAAATCGATTTTCGGTTTGCGGTAATTTATAATTTTACAATTTATTCGTTTTTATCTTGACATCTAAATAACAAGATGATGACCTCATTTCAACAACAGCGGCTTATGATGAGTGCTTCGGCAAAAGCAGTAAGTAATATAATAATTAAATAATTGTAAGACACTAATCGACTCTTTTATAGCATCCGCCTACTCCAACTATTAGTGCACCACCACCAATACCACCAATACTACCACCTCCTGGTATATCCCCTTCAGTTTTAGCCCCAGCTATGCCCTTACCTCCTATGTTACCACCTAGCATGCAAGCCCTCGGCATACCGCCTCCTCCTATGCCCCCTATGCCCTCTATGCCAATGAACTCGGTACCTGACCAAATTCCTCCACCTCCCATGTCGGTGGACCCGGAACCTCCGGTAGACGCTGAACCAGAACTTTCACCAAAACCTGAAATGGAGCCTGATCCCATGGATTATGAACCTCCTGCACCAGGAACAGAAGAAATTCCCGAGATACCCATTGATCCAGCAAGTAAGTTTAAAATAATTTATATTATGAGAGATTGACTTTTCATGCGGGATAAGCTATTAATGTGAGATGTCTTGCTTGAGATGTTCCAGAATGAGATCGGCCTGGTTGCCTCAATGGAGTCTTGGCATAGCTGTTTAGTGACATTACTGTAGCCGTTCGCTACCCGGTAGGAAACATAACTAAGTTAAATAATGTGTGTACAAGTATGAGTAATATTATGAAATATACATGACCCTTTACACATTATTATATGGGGATTCACACCTAGACATATTTCAAATTATAATATCAAAACATTTTTAAAAACACCAACCAATATTTAATTAGGTCTTCCCTAAGTATAATCAAGCCTATATTCTAAGTTTTATTAGATGTATATAGTAAATGTGTAAAATGTGAAATAAAATCCTGTGAATTTAGCATTTGTTAGGCACAAATTATGTATTTCTTACAAAATGTGTTACATAAGGAGTACCTTAAAAATAAAATATAATATATTGTTACCACATATGAAAATATGTTACTATTGGTTAGATAGATAAAAGATCTCAAATTTAGATTGATCAAAGATTGTTAGATTGGTATGATTGATATTATGTATACAATTATGTTAAGTCTAGTTAACATTAAAAAAATTACTAGCAAGCTTTGAGAAATCCTGATGTAGTCCATTTGCTCAGCTATTTTTTTTTAATTTTCATTAAGAAAAGTAGCAAAAAATTGACTAGATAGTTGGAACTGGGTGGATGAATTACATATAGTATTATAATTTTACATTTACAGATTAATGAAATTTGCTTGAAAGATACTTGCTTGGTAGAATTTGATATTTAGTAGTTTCATATCTTGTGATAAATAATTTTCTTCTTCGTTGATCTCTTATTAAACATACTATTAATATTTTTGGTCATAGGCATTCTTTTTATGTCAACAGGCAAATTGTGAGAGCTTTTCTTACTCTTACTTTCATGAGACCCTTATAAATACTGGGTACTTAGCTCATCCTTCTAGTTATATTTTTATATGTTTATGTTTGTACTGAGCCTGGCCAGAGAGTGTGTGTACTCTATTCAGAGTATTAATAAATTAATTAGTGTATCTATTATATTGATAGGAAACTCTTGATCCAGGCTTATTTTGTTGTCCATAATGTGTAAATTCATTAATTTATTTAGTTTTTATATTAACACATGCTTTGCTCTAGTGCCACACATTTCTGAGGTGTTTTGTATAGTTTGTTGTATAACTTTTGTGGTTTAAATTTAATCTCACCTAAGTAAGTAAACACAATGGTATTTTTTTTAATTTTTTTTTTCAATATAGTTTTATTTTCTCACAAAAAAATGCTTTTAAAATTTTTGTCATTTTAATTGGAAAGTTATATGGCAAAGGACCCGAAAATAGTTAGAATTTTCAGTTATCACCTCTTTGTTTGTTGCAAAACAGTGTCCTATCCATTTTTTTTTATTTTAAGATCAAGAAATAGTTGCTTTTTAATTTTGGTGAATATATTGGATGGTCAACACTTAATATTGTAATTTGCCTGTACCAAACTAATATGTGACTAATAGCTTTTGCAACTCAAAAACATTTTTTATTAATTAATTGATTAATAACATTAATGTGTGTAATAACTGTTTCATGTCCAAAAACTTTGTGCATGTTGTGTATATGTCAATTTGCCATGTTTACAGCTTATGCTGAATCACTAATTATGGTTCCACAAGCTGCCATGATTATATCAAGTAGATATTGACAGTTTCTGAACATTCATCACCTAAGGCATTCTTAGGTAATAGAACAAATTCAGCCCAGATTTCTTCTTCTTTAAGTGCCTTGTCCTCCGGGAACATTGGTAACCAGTTGCATGACCTTTACTTTATCCACAGCAGATCTAGTTAGTACCACTGGTGGAGGTTCTTGAGTCAGGATATTCTTTATCATTTAGGACCAAGCTTCGGTTCTATTTTTCCCTGAATAATTACATGTAGTTATTCATATTAATTCATATTTCTACAAGTGAAGGTAGTTTAATTGAACTATAATTTTCTTTTTGCATAAAAAAAAACAAAAATTGACTGGTTTGAGGAAAATTAAACTATTTGCTGTTTTTATTTGAAATTTTGATATAATGTTTTAGATGACAATATATGAACACAGGAAACAATTTGTTCTTATGTAATGCAACCTATTGAGGGCCAAACTAATCTCAAACCACTTCATTATTACAAATTTATTTACTTTTTTGTGGTCTATATTTATTGATTCTTGTGTTTTTAGATTGATTTTTCACAAATAAATTGACTGAAATATTCAATTATTAAAAATACAGGCGTGCATTATTAAGGCTTAATTGGAATTACAGGCTTAATTGGAATGAAATTAAGTTTTATTGCATTTTGGAATTTATACTCCACAAAATTGTCTATTGTTTAGCAGAATATTGATTATTCACAGTTTAATGACCTTGAAAGATAAGATTAGGACTGCTTAATGGTTTTATGAAAAAACCTATTTAAATAACACATATTGATTAAAATCTTTTGTGATTTTGTTGATGTATACTTTGCACTATCAGACTAATCTATCTTTGCACTAATCTTCAAAATATGTCCCCATATTTTGAAGTTATCCCATGGTATTTTGTTTTTCACATCTTCAACATACTCAAATATTGCTGCTTTAAATGTATAATTCAACTTGGGATTGACATAGAAGTCACATGATGCAAGTTCCTGTGAATATGGCATGCTTGGCTACTCATAAATTCTTCTGGCTAAAGAACCTAACAACATAATTCCAAACAAATATCATAAAGCTCTTCCCTGACATTACTAGTAAAGTAAACATTGCCATGATGGTCTACAACATTTAGTAATGAAACAGCACTCACAGAAGAAGAATATTTTTGCCATTTTTTTGTTCAAACATGATAAAACTTTATTAACATTTTAGATTTAACATGTTTATAAACTAATAGTTGTATAAACAACGATGTATTACAAAAGGTAACAGTAGCCCACATTTACTAAACTGACAAGATTCATCCAATATACTGAATATTGTCAAAACTTAGCAAAAATAATTTTTGTAATGTTAGGTTATGATAAATCATATGATTTTACTAAGAATGGTTTCTATTTTAAGTAAATGTCAAAATATCGACAACTTACAGTATGTGTTGGCTAGGAAGAACCAGCACATATTTCCTTTTTTGTTCTGTTCCTACCTGAATGCTGTTGACATTGATCACAACACAACACTTTGGTTAAGAATATCATACATTTGTCAGCAACATTTGGACATTTTATCAAGAATGGAGCATTAGTTCTTCCTGGCTAACAATAATTAAACGCTTTTTAAGACATAGTCGCATTGGTTTATAGGACTGTTCGAACTATGCTTTTACACCAGCTCCTAACTTCCCTGAAAGCAATTGTCAATATAACAGTGGGTCATTTGTACTAAAATACAACAAAAACAAAGTTTTAACATTCTCAATTTTTGTACTACAAATATAAACTCATACTTGTACATTACTTTTGTGTAATCCCCTAAGGAGAATCCCCGGTTATCTTAGACATCTCTATTTTCTTTTTATGTTTCCAGATGCTAATAAGTTCGACGTATTGACAGATTTTCGGTTTCTAGAGGCACGAATTGAGCCACCAGATGGAAACGTCTTGCCACAGCTGCAAAATATAGTACATAAATTATTTCTAAAAGACATTTATTATTTTAAACGTTTTGTTTGTGTTTCAGAAACAAAAGAGCATATGCCCGTTTATATTTGCTATGAGTATAACTAGAAACATATATTTATTTTATGCTGAGGTTATGAGATGACTGCTATATATGAGACTTGTTTAAAAGTAGTTCAGGCACGGCGGAATATGCGCGGTAGTCGCCACTCAACCGCTGGTAAATAAATTCGCGTGGATGCTGCAAGGATATAATATATAACGTGTCTAGACAGTTCTCTGTTGAAACTGCCCGTATCAGGGCTAAGATAACCTGATTTTCTTGTGACTTGCTTGATCTTATTTAAGGGTATCAAAAGATTAAATTTGTTCGCTGTTCTTTCCAACTAATTCGCCAACTTAATTTATTGACATTCTTAAATAGTTATAGAATTTTGATTTAAAATTCCAGAAGTTAAGATATAAGGTTATAAACTGGCCATGTGTGAGCAGTTAGCATAGAACTGGGTGCACTGGATACTGTCTTTTTCTGTGTCTTTTTTATGAAGGAAGTATATAATTATTTTCTTCTTGGAATGAAACAAATACACTGTATGTGCTTGAACACAATTCTTGCGTTTTGTGTCAGTGCAGATTCTAGCGTATCTGAACTATCCCTTAATACCAATAGTTCGAAGCATCAAAATCTTTATTTAACATTAAGGTTTATGAACATATTTAACCTACCATACTGCAATACATATTTACTTAATTTTAGTATTCATTGACTAAATTGTGACTTATTCACAATTAACATTTTTTATTTATTATTGCCTTAGTACTACAACTTGACCTTTTCAGTGTGGCAGTCCCTACATGTTAATCGCTGACCATTACAGCTCTTTTTAAGACAGTCGTGCCAGTATTACAGATGATTTTGATGGTGTATGGACAATAATATATAAATATAGACTAATGGGGTGTTGCAACAAATTACTAATGATTTATAAATTAACAGAAATAATGAAATCGATAGTTATGTGATGTATACAACGATCTATGTCACCATCTATATCTGTCCTGTCAATCTCATAATACTATAGATTATTGAGTGGAAAATTTTTGTTATCATGCTCTTTGTAATCTCTGTGTAGCTGTACCACAACACCAGATTTAACTGATTGATACATGTTGTTTTGTTTGGCCCAGTCTACTTTTTATTTCATTTATTTGTTGATTTTCATCTACTTCAAAATTTTTACTGCTTCTGTTGTAGGTATTCTGGTTTTTAAAAATTCTTTGAGTACTCCTCCAATTTTC